TAAATTGTACACAAGTGAAGCGATACACTTATTTGCGAATCACACGGATATCGAAAAATATGATTTACGGGAGGTTTAGTTAAGTCACTAGTTAAATTATTAAATGAGTGTATTTCATCAATGGTTTTATCTACCCACACTAGTTTTCACTAGTTTTCAGGCCATGTCACAAAAACACTTGAGATTAAATAGGTCCCATTCCAAAAACTTTATCATTCACACGAAACCCCGGGTTTTTTTTATCGTAATTCTTCAGATAGTTACTGATGGAATCATCTTTACGGACCGTCGGTCTCGTGCATTTCAGGTTTCTGGAATTCTCATCAGCTATGAGTAGGATTTCGCTTGAACATTCTTTCTTGGTTTGAACTTCACAAACATGAGGACAGAGCTAATACGTCACAAGTGTGATATTTGGTATTTTGGAGCAAGCAAGGAGACTCAAAGGCTGAGAAGAAAACCTGCAATTTTTTTCTCCATACAGTAAACAGGTCCTCGTGGAGCATGTGAGGCTCCACTTGATCTGCAGTCTATTCCCACAATCAATTCTGAGTCTCCGATCAATATGTATGGATCCGTTAGATACCACCCTCAGTTAACAACGCTTTTCCACGTTGACTTGATAGTTTTGCTCAGGCGTTTTGAAAAGAAACCTTCTAACTGTTGACGCGTATAGGATGTGCAACTCATGTTCAACAGGTGCCAAGCTTGTCACCTAATCCTCATCGGGACATCAGACTGCAGCGCGTGAGTATTCATTCCGATGTTCTCGATATTCCCTATCGTTCGAGTTAAAGCAGGAGGCAATTTCATGAGTCACCTTGGTGGCACATGCCCAAACCTGTATTTAATCGATATTGAGACGTGCTACTCTTCTTAGTGTCCTATTTGTTTGTAACTCATCCGCTTGATCTTTTGTGGTTGTTCATTCACGTGACTACGTCCCTATTACAAAGTACAGAGCAAACACGTGAAGAGGAGTTCGCTCCCTGGGAGACGTTGAAATTACCACAAAGGTGTCTAGCTAAAAGTCATACAGAGCGGCCCGTTTCTTCCTTGCCTACTCTATCACAGCAAACTTTTTCCACACATGCCTGCTGACACCACATTGTAAATTTTGAACCAAGGAACTGCAAATCGGTTCACTCGAGTCATCCTCTGGCCATTGACAGACTTTCAGTTGGTAATCCTTTCCACTCAACAAGAAATTCACGAAAGAAGCCACGCCAAGTCCCACATTTTGTGCCCGATGGATTTGTGGGTAAAAACGACAACTGGGTGTTGCTGCGCTGAACAGGTGGACGTGTCGTGCAGTTGTCTATAGATGTATCATTTTGCTGATGATCTGTCGAGATCATTTTTGACTAACTCCTTTATACGTGAATTCTTACCGTACGCACGACTTGGTCATATTCACATTCTGGTCCCTTGGGATCACCTACGAACGTTGACGGTGCACGTTTTCCAAAAACACTGAAGGGCAGTGATTGATCGTTTAGGGCGTTTCCAAAGTCTCAGTTCCTTACACAACATGTTGTATGTTATTCGTGAAAAAAGTCCATATCCTTAATGAATGGCTGGATATCGTACGTTAAAGCCCTACCTTTGCTTGTGGGATGTTAGTGTCCTATCTTGGGAATCTCGTGCTGGGGTCATTCATTTTGACATCCCCTTACCGACTGAATAAACCGGTACCCTCCCAGCTATCACCATCATATGACGTTAACAAGATTCCCTGATAGCTTTCGTAACCATCCCACAAAAGGAACGCTTCAAATTCGCGGATGTTTTCAAGCAGTTAGCTCTGAGTATGTTTGAGCTGAGTACCGGCGAAGGGATTGGCCTTCCAGGTGATGTAAACGCTCGCACTTTGCATTGGTGACAATGCAATCAGTATTCTTCACAGGGCTTTCGCTCCTGGGAGAACTCGTAAGCTATTCGTAGTAGACAGTTTATGCATTCGATAATTCGTTCGTCCTGATGTGGATTCGTCCATGTGAGATTCGCTGTGGGGAGTGAGGGACGAAGAAACCTGTGCGGTAAGCCAAACGAACTGCCTCCCGCCCCAAACATTTGTTTACCTAACTAATTTTAACTACTGACGAGTTTGAACATCTATGCAGAAACCTTTGAGTAAGCATGGTTGGCAGTTGATCACGTGGGTTTTGATCTGTTCGCCAAGATTGGCAACTGACTTTCAAACGCTTCGTCACCATTCAAGGAGGCATATTCAGTACGCAGTTAGATGAGTCTAATACAGAACCTCGTTGTCAAGGTTCCCGACACGAATCTTTGAGTCACTCATAGGTTTGAATATCCAGAATATTAAAAGAAATATTTGGGTTCGAAAGTCTACGGTACTATTTACAAAAACGAGGAGGAAAATTATGCAACACGCCTCGACTGCCCATGTTCGTGAGGTCGAGTGTCATCATCATCATCATCATCACCGACGGCATGACATCAGTGTTCAACACTGATGCCTCACTGCCGTAGATGTGGCATGAGTTCATTTGTGTATGTGCAGTTCATGGTTGTACGTGGGCTGGGGTACTGTCAGGGCGCCCACACCTAGACAGGAGGACGATTAGGGTCCTCAACCAAAGCCTTTGGCTCAAAAGCCTAACCGCAAGGCAGCAGTGCTTGGTAGGAAATACAAATGCATTACCATTTCTATGGAACAAGTCGCCACATGTTCCAACCCCCAACCTGGAGGGCCAGGAGACTGTGTTCGTCAGACCTCTAACCATTGACCAACCTGGTAAGAGAGACTCTGTGAGTGTCGCGAGACACTCTCCAGTATAGCCCAATGGATCGCTGAGGTGCGCAAACCGTCACACCCCGGTAAGGTCCAGTCTCTTCGTGACGGACAAGCCTCTCACTGATCGGCACAGCTCAGTGTCAAGTTCCGCTAATTAGACAACGGTGAATGGAATGTTGGCTCGGAACTATGGGTTGCTTTCATCACTTCCGAGCCAGTCTCGTGATTCTGAATGGCGGTGTGATCACTCGGAGATCAAGGTGGAACAGGTCAAAGGAGGCCCAACAGACGCATGGTTGACGCATCAAAGACGACGCTGGTCAAATCCCAGCGAAGACTGGCGCTGCTGAAACAGGTTCAACTAAGAACAAGAGAGAGTTTGCTTACCTTATCAATGGACTAGCCGGTAAAATGTGCGCAGTGAGCCACAAAAGTCTCAACGCCGGACCAGCTAACCAATGTGCAAAACGCAAGCGGAAATTGTCCGATTTCAATTAGTCAGTGACAGTGACAGGTGGACGGCAGAGGTTAAATGACGTACCTCTGGTACAAATGCGCTTCACGGTCAAAAGTGATGAGAAAGAGGTATGTAAACTTCAACCTTTCGGGTAGCGCGCCAAACCAAACTTCAACAGCCGTTTGTTCAATCACTGATCGCGTGGCGGCTCGAATCCAGCTTTGTCATCTGCCAGGCATCAACATCAGTTGATGGATGCAATACCATTGACGGTTTCTACTCAGCGACACAACTCATGAGAATACCGCTCCGGGAATATACTGTGAACATGGAAAGAGGCAGACTGAACGGCCCCTGTTATTCCACAGATTCGGCGTAAACCAACACTGCATGAGGACACTAGAATTCGCCAACTTTAGTACTGAATGCATTAGATAGTGCGTTCATTCGGTGATTACACACTACCTCTTCGTCATACGTAAGAAGGGAGGGCTAAGGAAAAATGTGGAGACCCGAAATAGTTGAGTTTGTTTACCGGATGCACTAGGATGGACCAACACGAGCTCTGAGTTGAGATTAATTTCAGACCTGTCCAGTCCATTTTGCCTGTTGATGTGTATTTAAGTTAATGTTTCTCGCTTGTTCCAAGACCACTGATTGCCCTGGGTTCAGTAATTTGGCATCGATGAATGTATAGTTGACATTGAATAAAGTAACCTGAGCGAAAGAAGTGGGTGCAAGGAAGTCCCGAAGAGTACAAACACAATGTGTTTTACGTATCACTATTCCGAAGCAAAGGGAGAGTAGTCTTTCAAGTCAGCCCGATGTTACTGTTGGATGGGCTACATATGAGTGTTCGAATGATGTCCCATTTGGAAAGCACTACCGTTAACTTACTCTCTCTCCAGTGCTGGGTAAGTTTTTTAGTCACCTTGTCAGATGATCTTGTGGTTTGTTTTATCAGGAAAAATTAAGTTCGTCGACAACTCTTTACAAACTCTATTGTAGCTAACGTTTAGCCCATTTGGTTCAGCACGCTTTTTGAACGCGCCCAACACCAGCAGCTTGGTTCGACCCGAGGCCAAACTTCGCGGAAAGAGGGCACGGGTGATGCACGCAATCCGAGCAAAACAAGAGTGTCAGCCATTGTGCCAATAACGGACGCACCGATGCACAAGAAAACACTAAGCAGACTGAAATAAAGTTGGAGGAGTGACACAGGGAGCTACCTATGGCCATCCTGCTATAACGGACGCACCGATGCACAAGAAAACAATGAGCAGACTGAAATGAAGTTGGAGGAGTGACACAGGGAGCAACCTATGGCCATCCTGCCAGCTCCGCTGGCGTTCTGAAGGCTATCGGTCCGATTGACGTGGATGTGATATTTGCGTTCGCCATTGGGTACAGCGAAAGGACGTGGGCTGACAGCAGTTCCACCATAGAGACAACAGGCATCGGAAAACAAGCCACACCGAAAGTCGCTTGGCTGCGTTCTTTGCCGGTGCCCATGCAAGGACAAGACAAGGCGGTTCAGAGACCAGGCCGACATTTGAACCAATCAGGTGCAAGTGCTGAAGGCCGTTAATTCAGCCATTGCATCGCTGGCCAAACAAAGCCTCCAGCGTGCGAAATGCTCTTAATTCATTGGCTCAGGCTGTTGCTCAGCTAACGAGTTTAGGTGATTGGCCATAACTTGTAGGCGTGCTTCACCGATTGGCTGTATGTCTGGCCTGGAACGGCAAAGCCAATCAGAGTCTAATTAATCTGAACTGAGTCACACGCACTTCATTCTGTGGCTGCTGTACACGTTCGGAGTGCGATTTCCCGTTTCTTCTGCTCGATAGCTTTTGCACGGATTTAATACGTTTTACGTTTGTCTTCGTGAATAACGCGATTTACAGAAATATGGGATTGGCATCCGGCAAACTCACTTTACATCATGTTGAGGACAAACACAAACCAGAGACGGTAAGCGCTGTTCATGCTCGTATGTCGTAATTCCTGGCTCGCGAATTGGTCCCATTAGGGCTTACCTCTTTTATATACCCTACTCCGTTTATGAGAATGTCATGTAACTGATCCTGGCAAGAGCGTGTTCAGGACATAAGTTAGGCACTGTTATCGGCTTACGACTTTGCTCTGACCAAGTCAAACACCGGAGGGACATATTACTGGTAGATATTTTTGATACATACAAATCAAATCCAAACCCCAAGTCCCAATAACCAAATGGCATTTGCAGCTTCACTTCTGGCGCCTTTCTAATCTCATTTGCTTAAGCGTGCACTGATATCTGACTATAACGATTACCCTGAAATAGAAACGGTATCATATGGGGGCGACACACAAAATAAGCTGTGTAATATTTCATTCACACCTGATTAGATTTACACTTATGTTTATCGGCTGACGCCCATCTGGGAAGTACTCAGGAGTTGAGTTAATCTCGTTCAGCTAAACGCCATGCCATTAGAAGGAGGTATGGAAGCTGGAACACTTCCGGGTTGCCCAAACCTAGACTGGGGAATTTGATAGGCGGGGGTCAGGTTTGAACCATAGATCTTCTGGTCAGTGAATTTGCGCCCAAACCACTGAGCTATCTGGTCCCCTTGAAATAATTCAAATGCTAGTCTATCGCTGAGTAATCCTCGTATGAGATTAGTGGGCTCAAGCTCTGTGGCACTTGTGGCGCCGTCCTTCTAGCTCCAAACAGGTCATCATCGACAGCATGACATCAGTGTTCAACACCGATGCTTCACTTCCCCAAACAGGTATCATCGTCGTGACCGCCTGACTAATCAGTTTACTCTCTGTCGTGAGGGCTAGTAGTTCATATGCATTTCAAGCAAGCAAAATGAACCTCGAGCATGTATTTCCTGACCTGAGTGTACTCTGACGTTGCAAAGTATATCCTGGACAACTTCTTGCTGTTTTCGGACTATCAAGTGAGAGACCTTACTACAAGTCGCACCATGATTGCTGTTGTACTTTCCCTATTAGAATGCCCATCGCCTTTCTACACTTAAACTATTATTGCACGTATGCACAGAGAACTGCTCGTTTACGGGCAGTTCTTGCGGAATTTTGCTCCGCATGCTGTAATCGTGGCTTTTCAATATTAGAAGTCTGGCTCCCTATCTCTAACTTCTCTACTAAGTCCGCTTTATCCATCAAAAATTCTATTCATGCAATTGTCCGCTGAACTTGTCGTTGGGAGCGTTTGACTTGGGAAACAGACGGCGTGGCAATTGTGTGTTCGTAATACGTGCACCACACGAGTCAATTTCACCATGCGTGGGTCTCGACGAACCTTTATAAATTCACCAATGCCCTCCACATGTGCGCTGCGGTCGTCAGTAAGCTGAAGTGAGTAATTCACTCTTTAACCAACTTTCCAGACAGGAAACTGACGGGAGCCTTGGTTGCCACCCCTGACCTTTGACCTTTCTGGACAGTCGTCACCTTAGTTCCATCATTGTTTCGTGCCTGGAAGAGTGGGTTGACTAGTATTCTGTTTTTAGTGGTAGCGAGTTGTTTGAACCTTGTGTCCGCGCTGTAAACAGCTCTCTTGATTGTCCGCTTTTATTAAAGTAACTTGCATACCGAATTGGTTTTGACGAGATACCCATCTGGAGCGGAGTGTGCTGCACCAGGCCGCTTTAAGTTTCAGTTGGTACGATATTCGAGATGCCGTGATACACGTATAGACGTAATACACTGTTCATAAGGTTGCCGTAAACCCTTGTTCTACGTTTTGTTCCACTTTGTTTTGATGATTGACAGTAAAGTCGGATGCAATGTAGACCTCGAGGTGCTAGAACGTTTTGGTGGAAGGTGCACGCTATACAAATTTACGCATTGGGTTAGTCTGTGTGATGGGTTTTAAGGATATTTGACAACTGAGAGCGGTGATATCAAGTTCAGTGGTCCCCGTAGAGTTCATTTGAATGTTTCTATCTTGGTTTGCATTTTGTCAGATTGTGATATTTTACAGCTTTCGACATTCCTCTGAATGGTATTCCCCAGGGCCTAATGTGGTATTTGAACCTGCGTTTCACTGCCACCGATTCTTTCTAGTCCAGTAGTTCGATACTTAGGGTTTTCAGAACTTTCCTAGACTGGGGACTCACGTTTCCCGAGTTCGCCGTTTTCTATAGAAAAGCTACCAATGGGGATGCGGTGGTTCAGTGGCTAGAGCGCGGTTTTACCGGTCGGGAGGTCCATGTTTCGAACCCGACATCTGCCTCTCGACTTCCCTTGTCTGGGTTTGGGCAACCTGGCAGTATCCCAGTCCTCGTGCCTCCTACTGGTGACATGGCATTTAGGCACCGAAAATGTTTTTATAGCATGATACCAAGGTAATTTGTATGGAGGAAACAGCAGACTTCGAGTATATATCTCGATCCCTCAGTAATAGGTCGGCATAGGGATATTGTATAAATAAGAATGGATGATAATAATCCTTCAACTGTAGGACCCTTTGAGTTCTAATATGCCGCTCAAAAGAAGCGCGAAAACTGAGATAGTCCCAGGTTACCCAAGCGTAAACAGCGAGAGTCGAGATTTAAAGTTAAATTCGAACCACAGACCTTCCGGTCACTGAGCCATCGAGCTCAATTGATACTGGAGCGGGCGGAAAAAATTCAAGTGGGTTAATAGAAAATGTGAGTAGCATAGGAAACGGCTTACAGGATATATCAGAAGTAGACATCCAACGGCACCTTCTCAATCCTACGGGAGAATGTCACCATGTTATTATCCGCATTATCGTTACGAACGGAATCCGTGCTCATTACTGACGCATAATTATCATACGGAAGGGCCGTCATCGGCGGAGTGAGAGGAGACGTACAATACACTTGTTTCCTTTCTGACCTGAAGCAAGAATAGGCGGTGTTTGTCTAATATTTGTTCGCGGAAAAAAACGGGATGCCCCTCAAGCTCGGGTGCGAATTTAATGATCGGAAGGTCCGTGGTTCGAATCCAACCTATCCCGACTTTACTGACGCATAATTATCATACGGAAGGGCCGTCATCGGCGGAGTGAGAGGAGACGTACAATACACTTGTTTCCTTTCTGACCTGAAGCAAGAATAGGCGGTGTTTGCCTAATATTTGTTCGCGGAAAAAAACGGGATGCCCCTCAAGCTCGGGTGCGAATTTAATGATCGGAAGGTCCGTGGTTCGAATCCAACCTCGATATCCCGACTGCTTTTTTCCCGGCTGAGGCCACCTGGCATTAGTATTTCTACCCTTGTGCTTCCTTTGGATGGCATCGCAGCTATTCACTGAAATGTCAAAGCTGGATGATTGTTATTGTTACACATCAGTGAGGCACACAAAAATCCACAGGCCAAGTGACTCATTTTTCCACTGTTCCTGGAAGTCTAGCAGTCTCAAACGTCTGTCTCTAAACGCCTAGATTGGGTCTTAGTCAGTCAGACTAACACACGTGCGTATTTGCAACGGTGGCGGATGACAAAGCGTGACGCTAAGTCGACTGGGTGATATCAACAACTTATCTCGGTCGATTGATGGTGACGGATAAAAAATCGTTCATTTATGACACCCTTTCCGTGCGCAGCTGCCATCCACCCGAAGGGAAGCACGAGGAAAGGGATACTACCAGGTTGCCCAAGCCTAGACAGAAGTCGAGAGGCTGAGGTCGGGTTCGAACCACCGACTTTCCGGTGAGTAAATTCGCGCCTCAACCACAGCCACCCCGCTCCAAAAACGAGCGTCCCTGGGTGGGCTACAAGGGCGAGTGATGTAAACTTTCAATTGGTAGCGAGTGGTGGGCGAGGAGTTGAAACGTAGTCCCGTGTCCAAACTGGAATATGTTGCGTCTCCCTCGAGGTGAGACACGTTTCTTATTCCCATGTAACTTTCACCGCATATGATTTGATATATACAACGCGAACTGGCGCCATTGTGATTCTAACCTTGATAGACCCTCGGATTCGGCTGCTCATTCGCACTTCTGCCGCATGGCATCTTTTTAATGCTGATAGTTTGAGTCCGGACTGGCTACCTCACGATTAGTTTCTGGTGCTGTGTTGTTTGATGGACCGCAGGGAATATCCCTTTTCTCCCAAGATCTTGGCCAATAGTTCATGATCCGTGCCGCGGAAAATGCGTGATCACATCAATTCACGAGAACACAGCTAACATGCTTGTGAAATCAGAATCACAATGCCTATCCCATGTGTGACCGACAGCTACTAATTTGTCCACCTGACCATTTGGTCCGAAGGTATTCAGAATTTTGTGATCAAATAACGCATGATTGACCTGGAATGCTGTATTGTACTCCGCACTGTTATCTGAATGGTGAAATACTTAGTGGAAATAGTTTTGTGATTTAACTCAACTGTGCGGATACTGCCATAGTCTACGTCCCAAGCGAAACTTGGGTGAGTTGACGTGTAATTTAAAGGAAAGAGTAATATGGAATGTTTCTCCGTCACAAAAAATCAAGGTCTTGTGTTAATGTTACTCATCACTGCGTGAAATCGCTACCCACTGGATCCGTCATTCAGGCGCGTGTTTATTCTCTATTTCAACTTTTCTTGGCGTAAGACGTAAGAATGTCATTAACCATTGGATTCAGCCGGTATTCAGCTTGTTAAACTAACTGTCTTATTAAACTGTCTCTGTCTGGGTTTTATTTTCGTAATCTCATTCAGGTCCGCTAGGCGTAACCCTGCTTTTACAGTTTTAACCGGATGCAAGTGTGCATTGTTTGGATCCAATGTAGCCAGGGCTATTTCGGTGCAGTCATACTTCTCGTAGTTCAAGCGGAGAATGATAATCGTGAATACCGTTTTGAGAGGCGCGAATGTTTTAAAGAAATTGAACTAGTTACTGATTTCGATATCAACGTCCGATCCGAACACCCACTTAGATTCAACTGACCTCGAGATGGTTCATTGGTTAAAGCGCTAATTAATTGGTCGAAAGGTCCGTGG